GCCTCCTTCAAGAAAATGGAGTCAAAAGAGACCCCATGTGAAAAATAGGCCTCCGGGAGAAAATCAGAGTAGGAGGGGCTACTGTGGGAGAGAAATAAAGGAAAAAGGAAGGTTCCATGGGCATGAGGGAGCCATTATTGTAGTCCGAGATGTAACGGACTGCACCATTGGCATAGGAAGGGCCAAAACTAAGAGGAAGGGCCTAGAAAAGGGCCTTAACAACCACTTGACACTTGGCATGCTAGAAAGAGAAAAAAATAAAAAGAAAAATGTGGAAGAATAAAACAAAAAGAGTGAGAGGGAGTGAGTGAGTTTGCTGTCAGTAGGGACTATCACAAGTAGGGACTGACAGGTCTCTACTGTCAAAGAAATGAGGAAAAAGAAAAAAAAAGAAAAGACAAAAGAAAAAAAAAAAAGAAAAATGCCTTAACGGTAAAAAAATACCACTAGGGGAGATACATCCGTGACCAGATTCATTCTGGAATATGGCGGTTGCAAAAGACCTTGGATTTTCTGTTGATTTTGCAGAGAAAAATCAAGAAAAATCAAGGCCCCATGCAACCAAAATACAACGGATTACATGGGGAGGGAGAAACACATGTTTTAGGTGCATCCGAAGCCAGAATTGAGTCCGGATGCACTTGGAAGTTTACCCTTTTTTTTTTTTTTTTTTTCAATTGAGGGCTAGTTGTGGGGCATTGGGGTTTAGGAAATTGACCCCTATTGCAGTCCGAGTTGCAACAGACTGCATGAGGATGCCTAGGCTAAGGGAAAATAAGCCACGGCAAGCCCAAGGGGCTATAAAAAAGTGATTTTGACATGAGGCAAGTAGAGACGGTAAACGACAACCGTGAGATGAGATCTCACGGCCAAGAAAAAAAAAATCGTTACACATGTGACACCTATGGAAGGGATATTGGAACCACCAAGGGCAAGGAGGTCCCAAAATAAAAATGGGACACAATCCGGGATGTTGCCGGGGATTAAGTGGGCCCAAATAATACTAGTCGAAAAACGGGACGCGCGCCGGCGAGACTACCGGCGGAACAAGAAAATGGAACTAGTACAGGGGAAAGTGGCGGGGACTTGGGATGTCCCAAGGCAACCATGAGCCAAACACAAGAAATAATCGCACAAGCAAATGGCACCGTCGAGATCGAGGATCTAGACGGTGGAAAATATTAGCACCACTAGTGCAAACACTAGTAGGGATAAATGAGAGGGCCATGAGAGAAAAGAAAGTGAAATAATGGTATTGGGAGGGCTGCCCAGCAGTCCGAGAAATCCCGGACTAGCTAGGCATAAGAAGATAGAGCCTTTAGGGGCTCAACATGGGAAAAAGGCTGTCCAAGGAAAATTGGAGCAAAAGGGGTTCAAAATTGGAACTAACGGAGACAAAATGAAGCTCCCTAGGAGCATGGGGGTGCCATTGTTGTAATCCGAGATATAACGGCCAACTATTGAGTCTGAATCTGGCCATGGATGAGGATCCATGGCCTAGAAAAAAACTCAACAGCTAGTTGATACTAGTCACATAAAAAAAAAAGAAAAATAAAATAAAATGAGAGAAAATGGAGGGAGAATGAGACAAGGGAAGAAAAGAGTGGAGGAGAATGTGCTAGCCTATTGGGACCTGCGTAGTAGGGGCTGGCAGGTCCAAACTATGACCTCATCCCTCCTAGAATGGGGGTGGGCAATCCGGATTGCAGAGATATGACCCTTGGGGCAATATCTCCACAAAATCTGAATTAAAAAGAGAAAAATAAAAGAAAATGCAAAGGGGAGATGACCATTTTTTTTGTGGACCATGAATCTGAGATCATATCTCATGGTGGAGAGAAACTAGCCGTTTTTGTGGGCCAACCCAAAACGGCTAGCTCCAGAATGAGGTGGCAGCCCAAAATGGAATGAAAAAAAAGAGGGAAAGAGACAAAAATGTGCATTTGGCCCAAAAAGAGAGTCAGATGCACCAAAAGTTGAAAAATTGAACTTAGGGGCCCAAATTTGAAGCAAGGGCTACTTGGGGTTAACTCGGAATATTGTTGGCCTTGGATCTCAGCTAGATCCAAGGCTGAAACTGCACCGAGGCATGGGAAAATACCTCGGCTTACCCAAAATGGGGTAGAAACTGAAAAAATCGAGAAAAAGGCCCACTAGGCCTTTTTCTCTCAAGTAAGGCTGCCCCTTGGGCATTGGGACCCAAAAGGGCAACATTTTGGAAATGGAAAAGAGGCTGAAGGAGGCCAAGAGGCATTCCGAGTGGGTACCAGCCACTCAGACTGCATGTACTTGGCCAAAATGAGGCCCTGGTACCTCCGGAAGGGCCTAGTGGTGGAATTTTGCATTGGGGGTACCTCGGTTCACCTCAAGGCACATGGGGAGGCCCATGGGCTGGTCAGAGTGCTGGTTTCAGCCTACATAAGATGAGGATTCAGTCCGCCACACTCACATTTGCATGAGGAGTGTCCATGCCGCCCAAACAAGCTCATAGGAGCACTTTCTCACTTGGAGAGAGGAGAGGGGAACCCCTACCAGTTGGAGAGTTCAGAGGAGACTGTGAGCAAGGAGAGAGAGCTCTAGAGGTTAATGGAGGTGAGGTTGGCCTAGGAGGGTGATCCGCCATAGCCCCCAGGGTGTGAGGAAGAGAGAGAGGCTAGAGGGAGTCCCATTAGCCCTCCTAGAGGGGAGGACTCCATAGCTATAGTAGGAGAAGTTTGCCATAGCTTGGGTAAAGTTGAGAGAGGAAGGAGAGAGGGGCTTGAGGAAGAAGAGAGCCATAGCCAAGGCGGTACTTGTACAAGGGAGAGGAAGCTTCATCAAGGTTGGGACTCCATCTCCAAGACCTTGAGAAGGTGAGTGGAAAGGAGGAAATCCTTCTTCTTCTCCTTCTTCTTCTTCTTCTTCTTCTTCTTCTTCTTCCTCTTCATCTTCTTCTTCTTCTCTTCCTTCTTCTTCCTCTTCTTCTTCTTTTTTTTCCTCCTACTCCTTCTTCTCCTTCTTCTTCCTCTTTTTCTTCTTCTTCCTCTCCTTCTTCTTCTCCTTCTTCTTCCTCTTCTTCCTCTTCTTCTTCTTCTTCTTCTTCTTCTTTCTAGAGACACTAGTCTAGCTCATGATTTTCACTCACATGATAGTAGGTGATGTTCCGATTCTTCCTTAAATGATTTCATGCTTCAATCTTGTGTTTTTTTCTAGTCTAGCTCATGCTTTTCACTCACATGATAGTAGGTGATGTTCCGATTCTTCCTTGAATGATCTCATGCTTCAATCTTGTGTTTTTCTCTAGTCTAGCTCATGCTTTTCATTCACATAGTAGTAGGTGATGTCCCGATTCTTCCTTGGTTGACCTCATGTGTTACATGCACAACTATGTGATGTTCGTAATAACCGACGAACTACAATGTGATGAAAAGGACTGAATGGACAATGCAGTGCGAGTAGAATCTTGACAGACAATGTGCATTCTCATACATACAAAAGGTGTTGAAAAGCGCAGGGAAGACTTAGATACAAAGACTGACATGACAGGGACTGACCTCATTCACGTAGTACAGAGTAGCGAAGCGGAATGCTAGAATGCTACTAACAATCAATGTTTGGACTCAGACTAAACATACATCGTATCCATCACCAGGTGTGAAGGAGTCTGGCGCTGTACACAGGAAGAAAGCGTCAGGTCCAAACATACACAGACGAAGAGGTAAGGATCAGACGAAAGGAGGGGGAAAGATGGGAATGTCGTTAACACCAAGTCTTCGTCACCAATCCCAAATAATCCCTCGTTACCATGTCTGAAGTCCCAACAGCCGAGTCTGGGTCCAATGTCACCGAGCTCTGTCTCTCTTCTCTCGTAGTCTGCAGATGCAGCGAAGTCAGAAGTTTAGAGGGAGAGAAGAAGATGGTGGATTGAGAAGAGGAAGAAGAAGAACTTTCCCTCTCTCACTGTTACGACCCAGATACTAACCTGAGATGTTGGCGCTGTGCTGCAGGTACCTCGAAGACGAAGCTGGAGCAACGGCGCTGCAGGTAGGTACCTCTGGCCTCCGCCAAAGCTCTCTCTCTCTCTCTCTAGTACTACTTAGCTATGACGCCCAACGCTGGAGACTACAACTACCTACTGCGCTAGCGCTGAAGACTACAAGCTAACGCTACTACTACTACATTGCAGCGCTCCCTCCAGAGCACTGCTCACGAATCCTGAAGACTACAACTACCGACTGCCTACCTCGGAAGTGCATGGGAAGTCCTATGTACTACCTCGGCCTGCCTCCTGACTACTGGAGGGCGAGTCAGGCCGAGGAGGCAGCTCTTGCGAATGCCGAAGTGTGCCAGGGGCTGGCGTGCAGCAACCTGCTGAGGCTGGCGTGGGAAACAGACTAATAATAGTCTGTTCCCGAAACCCTGGTTCGGTGCCGGAGTTTCAGGGCCGGTCGTTCTGATGAACGATCGAAAATGACCCTTCGTTTCAGGCTAAAAAGGCTGTTGCCATTTTTAGTTTGAAACGAAACAGGGATAGGCCTTGGAATTCAGGCTTTCGGGATGAACCGACATGGGGACTGTAAGCCCTGGATTTCAGGCTTTCGGCTTGAAGTTCAGGCTTTTGGCATGAAGGACGCAGGCCTACAAAATGGCCTGCGTGTGCACGCGCAGCATGTAACACCCCCCCCTCCTTATGAAGTCAAGGCGGGGCGAGGGCGAAGCCGTCGATCTGAAGGTGGAACCTGGATGCGAGCGCGGCGGGGAGCCGAGGAAACCGGCTTGCCTTGCATCTTGCGTTCGTAGCGTGCGAGAACGTCTGGAGCTGTTGCTTGAAGTTCCGCACGGGTTAACCATCGGTCAGCTCGGTGTGTGCAGTATGCAAAATGCACCAAATACTCAGTTGGCTTGTTGCCATAGCGTCGCTGGGAGATGATGTCACCGACCTCCTGAAAACCATCTATAGAAGGCGGGTCTTGCGTATGTCTCCCGGGAAAATCGTCATGGTCCGCTGGCGTGTAGAGAGCCAATTTGGAGCAATCAAAGACTGGGTAGATGGGCGAGTGGCTAGGCACCTAAATCGTGAAGGAGGGTCCTTCGGGTGCGTCCCCAGCGGGCTCTCTGATCGGCCAAGGCCCCATCCATTTCGGAAGGAGCTTGTGAGAGACGTCTTGTTCAAGGCTGAATTCCGCGACGGAAACCCAAACGAGGTCCCCGATGCGGAATGGACAAGGAAGACGCTGGCGATTGGCCTGCTGGCTCATGCGCTGCTGCGTCTTAGCCATCTGGTCGCGTGCCTTGACAAGAAGCTCTTGCATCCGACGCAAGAAAAGGAGATGGTCGTCGCTCTCGGTCGTGCGTGGAGTAATAGTGTCCAACGGTGATGTGACCGGCAAGCCATGCTCGAACTCGAAGGGCAATATCCCAATAGTCGGGTGGATGGAAGAGTTGTAGGCCAACTCGACGTCCGACAGTCGCTCAACCCAGTCTTTCTGGTCGGGCCGGATGAGAGTGCGAAGGAGAACCTGTGCGGTSTGATGCGCCCTCTCCGTCTGGCCATCGGTCTGAGGGTGGCGAGTTGAACTGGGCTTGAGAGATGAGCCCCATCGCTTGATGAGCGCCAACCAAAAATCGGACATGAACCGAGTGTCGCGGTCGTAGACGATCTCCTTGGGGTAACCCTTGGTTCGAATCCAACCCGCGTACAGAACCTCGGCCAACTCCCGTGCCTTGGCATGATAGCGACAAGGCAAAAACATGGCGAACTTGGTGAGTCGGTCGACGACCGTGAGAATCCCATCCACTYCGGTCTTGTGCTTGGGGAACGGGCCGGTAATGTCCATGGCAATCGCTTCCCTTCGCCACAACGGGACTGGCAATGGTCGTAACTCGCCGTATGGACGATGGTTGCGGGATTTGCAGTGTCGGGAAACCTCGCATGACTTGCAATAGCGCATGACGTCGCCGAGAAGGCCGGACCACCAAAATCGCTGGCGAAGTTGGCCAATTGTGCGATTGACTCCAAAGTGTCCAGTGGCGGGAGCGTCGTGGAACTCGCCAAGAAGCCGTGTACGCAAGTGAGGATCACTCGGTACGCAAAGGAGGTCCTTCCCCCGCGTGTGGACAAGCAAGTACCCCTCTTGGATCCGGTAGTGAGAAGGAGCCGGGTTAGGAGAGGAGCAATTCGCGTACTTGTCGCGAAACTCGGGGTCGGCTTGGTAGCCGCGGATGAAGCTGTTTCGCAGGTCGTCGTCGATCTCGAAGGTTGAGTAGACCGCGGTACAATGATCCGGACGCCATGAAAGAGCATCCGCAAAACGGTTCGACTTCCCGGGAATGTGATCGGGAAAGAAGTCGAACTGGTCGATGAAAGTCATCCATCGAGCGATGGTGCTGTTGACGGTGTCTTGGGTCTTGTAGAAGACCAACGGATTGTTGTCCGTTACGGATCGAAATTGGCTTCGACCAAGGAGGAAGTGCCGCTACCACTTGAGCGCGTGGAGAAAGGCGAGGAGCTCCTTCTTGCGTGCATTGTCAATGGAATGCACGAGGGGCACTTTCTTGCTGAAGTACTCGACCGGGTGCCAGTCCACACCATCATGTTGCTCGAGGACTGCACCAATGCCATAGCCTGACGCATCCGTAGTGACGCGCGTAGGCGCGAGTGGGTCGTATATCCGCAAGACCTCTGCAGACAATAGCGCGGCTTTGAGAGCGAAGAATGATCCTTGCGCCTCCTCTCCGAAGTCAAACGGCCGATCCTCGCACTGAAGCTTGTTCAAGTGGGCCGCGATCTTTGAGTAGCCTTTGATGAAGCGCTGATAGTAGCCGGTAAGACCGAGGAACGAGCGGATATCCGTGACGTTCCGAGGCTCCGACCACTGCTGGACGGCCTGAATCTTGTCCGATAGCGGACTGATGCCCTCCGGTGTGACAAAATGGCCCAAGTATTCCAGCTCTTGCAGGACAAATTTACACTTGTCGCGGTTGGCCTTGTACTTGGCGCGGCGGAGCGTCTCCAACACTCGTCGAAGATGCCCAAGATGATCCTCCAATGACCGTCTATAGACGAGAATATCGTCTAAGTATACCAGCACAAACCGGTCCAACATTGCACGAAACTGATTGGTCATGGCCGCCTGAAATGTCGCCGGGGCGTTGGTGAGGCCAAAAGGCATGACCACCCACTCAAAATGCCCGTACCGCGTCTTGAACGCCGTCTTGTAGCGATCGTTCGGCTGGATCGAGATCTGATGATATCCTGATTTCAAATCCAACTTCGAAAAATACTTCGCTCTGTCGAGTCGCTCAAGAAGAGCGTCGATGCGAGGAAGAGGCCCCACATTCTTGACGGTTTGCGCGTTGAGCTTGCAGTAGTCGATACACAATCGTAGATCCATGTTCTTCTTCCTCACGAAGAGAACTGGTGCTCCATATGGGGAGCTGCTAGGGCGGATCCAGCCCTTGGCCAGCAAATCATCGAGTTGCGCGCGGAGGACCTCAAGTTCCTCCTCGCTCATCCGATAGATGCAACCTTTCGGCGGCACGGCACCGGCCTCAAGAATGATCTCGCGAGAGATTGGCCGATCCGGCAGCACACCGGTAGGTGACTCGAAGATGTCGGCGAACTCGTCCAGCAACCGTACCACACGGGGGTCCGAAGACAAGTTCGTGGGTGAAGAGTCGGCTACCGTGACGGTCCGTAGGAAACATAGGTCGATCTCCTCGGGCTGCTCGTAAGCGCAAGTCGCCCGGAATGATTTGGCCGTCACCACTTGGCACCGGATCGAAGTGTGCGGTAGAGGAATCGTACATGCCACTTCCGCGCCGAAGGCGTCGCGAATGCTAAGAGTCCGCCGATGGAAGTTGACCGTGTGATCCGCACTTGCAAGCCAAGGCATTCCCAGAATGATGTCGAAGTCCGTGTCGAGAATATCGAATGTTACCGGTTTGCATGCATGAGGTGCGAAGTAGACCGGTACGGCCTCGATGTAACGGTCGAGAAGTTGTTGTGTCTTTCCGTCTGCCAACTTGATCGCCGTCGGGTTTGCCTTCCTCCGAACTTGTGCGCCAAGGCCAGCCCTTAGCATAAAGGATTGGCTCATGAAATTGCGAGACGCGTCGCTATCCAGCAAAACGCTGCAGGACGCTTGCCCAACCTGAATGCGGACATACATGAGCGGTGCGTTGTTGTCGTCGTACCGCTGCGTGCAAAACTCGCGGGCCACCTTGGTAGTATATGCCAGGATGTCCCCCACCGCGACTTTGTCATCCGTCGGCGAAGTTGGTGGTGCATAGAAGGATAAGTAAGCGTGAAGATTAGCGCTAAGTGTTGCGCATTGCGGTCCCGGCAAGCGGCCTGTGGTCGGGAGAGGAAGCCATGCAAAGTCCTCAGACGTGAGTGGGTCTAATGCCTCTATATTGAACTCGCGTGCCGAATCCTGTGGTGAACCACTTGAAAACGATATGTTGCCGTTGTCGGACGAAGAATATACCGCACACACTCCTTGTCCTTGAGCTTGAGTACCCAGCGTAGGAACGAGCCGGGCAGCATAGTCCTCAAACGAAAGTAGAAGAGGAGGACTATCGACTTCCGCGTGCGCCTCGGAATGAAGGCCGGTTACTCGTGAAGAAACCGGTTCCGAAGGCGTCGAGAGTGTCGTCGAGTTACTCTCGGCGGTGCTCAATTTCCCTGTCTGCCCTTGCCTTTCAATGGGCAACCCTGCGTCTGATGAAGATCGCTGTTGCACCAAAGGCAATAGTGGAATCTCTCGCCTGCCTTGAATGCGGACTCGGAGATGCCATATTGGGTCCATGGGCCTGTCTGAGCTGCTGCACCGGGCCCGGGGCTAGATGCGGTGTGTGTCTTCGTCTTGCCGCGTCCTTGGCCTCTGCCGGGGCGGCCACCTTCCCGGGCGGCTGCGAGTCTGTCCCCTTCACTGGCAGACACAACCTCGCTGATTTGGTCCAACGGTGCTGCCGCCGCGACCACGGCCACTCTTGGCCGATGCTGGTCCCTGCTCGGGCCTGACGCAGATGAACGGAGGTTCTTGGCCTCCTTGTTCATGATGATGATCTGCTCAGCCTTGTCGAACAACTCCGCCGTCGTTGTCAAGGTGTCCTCAACATGCGTCAGGGCATTGCTTAATGCCGGACATGACCTTGAGATGAAGTAGTGGCGGATGGCCTTGAAGCCCATCCGGATGTCTGGGACTGACGTCAAACGTTGGTACTCGGCGATCCAGTTCGTACTCGGCAGCGTGCCTTGCTCGAAGACCATGAGCTTGTCCATGGCTTTGATTTCTGGCGGCTCCACCTGGAACCACTTGTGCCACGCCGCCTTCAGCTCATCCCAACTGATCTTGGTGTGCAAGTCGGCTGCTACTACTCCGTACTTGGACAAGAGGTTGTCCAACCAAGCCTGGTACGCGCCCCCTGAACGAGAGTACAAGTCTGCGTGGTGCTTGTGTTCTTTGACGTCGGACAACTGCAGCGTGAGCTCGAACTTGCGAAACCATGGAATCGGATCTGTCTTCATTGAGTCGCAGAAGATCTCCTTCCCGTCGAACTTTGGAGTTGACTCGCGCGGTTCTGAACTCGAGGTGGTGGCAGTAGTGCAGATCCGCTGTTGCAACTGTTGCGTCGCGGTCTGTTGTAGTTGCACGCCATCCTTGAGTGAGCCGACGTCCATCTTCAATGCGTTGAGGCGGTCGACAGTATTGGAAGAGCTTGCGTCGGCGGCGGCGACTGGTCGCTGCTCCAACTGCTGAAGGCGGTCTTGGACGTGAGCTAGCGAGGTGTCGAGACCGAGGATCTCCGCCTGCTGTGTAATGCAGGTTGCCAGGAGGTCTGTGAGCTGCGAGAGGAGGAGCGCGATCTTGTTTGCGCTATCCTCCAACTTGCCATTCTCCGCCTCGGTCCGCCATTTCGCTGCCATTGCGAGTAACGCCCACTCTCCGGTAAATATCTTCTCACAACGCTGGGTCCTTTCTTCATCGGCAGCCCTTGCTGCTGCCTCGTCATGCTGGCGCTGTTGTTCTGCTCGACATCCTCTTCCCTCTTCTTCGCTGCTGCGGCAGCATCATCTGCCCGTTTCTTTGTTTCGGTACTCCAGGCCAACATGCAGGCCTGATAGGCCTCGTCTGTTTCTCCGGGCCTCTGGTCCATGACTGTTGTATGTGAACGCAACAGCATAGACCAGGCCGGGGCCTGCTGCTGTGGTATCCCTTGCTGCTGACGTGGCACTGCTGACGTGTCCTGCTGACGTACTGACGTAGTTTGCTGACTTGGCTTGCTGACGTGGCAACTTACCAATGCCGCCGCAGGGGGTACCCGGATACAAACAGAAACGGTAAGGCGAAAGATGGCAACAACATAGGTGGGGAGGGGTGGGTGGGATAATCGCCCAACTAGTCACACAGATAAGGAGCCACTAATCAAACGAGAAAAGTTTGAACTTCGCAAAGAAATTTCGAGAAAAAAAAAAAATCCCGATTTTTGCAAGTTCGGTAGGTCTCCCAACCTCCCTTAAAGTACGAAATGATCACTGAAAGTGAAAAAAATTTCGACTTTAAACTGCCAATGATTTATAGAACCGAACGACAAAATCCCATAACTGCGAAAAAAATTCCGAACATAAATGACAAGTATTCGGATTTATTTCGATAAGAATATTCGCAGTTTGGAAAATAATATCGCAGGAGGTATTTCCTGTACCGTTTTCAAAAAAACGAATTTCAGAAAAGAAGATATTCCGAATTTCTAAGTAACGGGAAATGCAACAGGAAATCAAAATTTTCGAAAAAAAAAATATTCCAGATTTTCAACAGCGAAATTTTGAATTTTAGAAAAAAAAACGAAAATGGGAATTTGTGATGTTGCGATATTGCGATTTTCCACAACAGAATAGCGAGAAAATTAAATCCGACTAAAGAAAAAAATTTTGATTTTCGGTAGTAAGGTCAAGATCGTGATTTTGGGGTCTAACTAGTATGCCCTAATCAATCAATAAAGACTAACTAGCTTTTTAGTCCCCGCACACGTGTCAAATCAGGTTGTCCTGATTCACGTGCAAAGCTCCGATACCAACTGCTACATGCACAACTATGTGATGTTCGTAATAACCGAGGAACTACAATGTGATGAAAAGGACTGAATGGACAATGCAGTGCGAGTAGAATCTCGACAGACAATGTGCATTCTCATACATACAAAA